TTTGTATTGATTAAAGTTTTGAAATAAGGCCATTTTCATGCAAGTAGCACTTAAAATGTTTAAATATAGTACCACAGATGCTTCAGTGAGTATGTCTTTAAGAAAATCAACAGCAACAGTAAAGTATTGGTGATGGACATTCAGCTTGTCCAGGCCTTCATCTGATGTACTACCATCTTGAGAAGAATTATGTCTGCTGTAAACTGGAAAAAAAAAAAAATCATTATTATTAGAAAGGAATTACCATATAACCTTATGTGAAAGTTAGGCAAAAAACGCTTGTCAGATGAGTTGAACATTCCATAATGGACATGGAAATAGACACAAAAGAAATGCAATTAAAGCGTACTCTAATGTACTACTATTTCTAGCTCTACTATTTCCAAAAAAACAACAACATTGAAATGTAATTAATATGAAGTTAAGTCATGTCAACAATTTGTTTGCTGTGAAGGCAGTGAACTGCATCATCATTGTGCACCCTCCCCTCCCTCCCAAAAGATATTCAGCTTCTGCTACCTCAACTTCACTATTGAGAAAKTAGTCTTTGCTGACAATACTTAGAAGCAAATATGCTGCTTAAACACATACTAGGGTTTGACTGCATAGTATTATCATCAGTTTCATCATTATCACACGATCTTCTGTTGTCATGATTATCATCACGCCCTTTGCTGCCATCATCTTCGTTGCCGTTCTTTTCTGTAGATGTATTGTTGTCAGCTGTTTGCTGTGGAGCATGCTCAGTAGMCTGAGTTGTGTTGTCATCSGAAAAAGAATACCGTGATCTCTTGCGATGAATTTTACAGGAATATCCCAATAGACCCATCAAAATCTTCATTATTCGTGGATCTGAAAGTTAAAGGAGAATCAAAAGAAGTTGGAAAAGAGGATAGTATAAGAAGAAGGTTGAAGAAGGTTGAAGAAGGAGGTTGAAGAAGGAGGTTGAAGAAGGAGGTTGAAGAAGGAGGTTGAAGAAGGAGGTGGAGAACAAGCAGAAGAAGGAGGATAAAAAGACAAGGAAGAAAGGGGAAGGATAAGATAAAGATTTAATAAGTAGAATTAGGAGCCAATACTAAAATAACAGAAGGATGAGGAGAAGAAGTCCAAAAAGATGAGAAGATGATATTAGACAACAAGAGGAGTAGAAGCCAATTAATATTTAAACATTCAGGAAGGAGGAGAAAGAAGGCTGAAAAGCTAAMATGTTTACCTCTCCCCATTGCAGTGAGTACATTCTGTGGTTCAGCCATGAGAATAACATTAAGAACAGAAAATGAGGACATGAGTGATAGCTCCCTGCCGACAATAATTCCTCCCTCATCGTGTCCACATTCACCAACAAAATGACACAACAAAGGCACAACAGCTGGGCAGGACACTGAAAAGAAAAACAAACAAAAAATTGAGTCAATCTGGGCCATGATTAATGATTATTTTCGCTGTTGTAATAAGAAATTACAATGGCCAACTTCTTCTTGATATTATTGAAAAGGTATCATTGAAAAGATTGATATAGTAGATGTTCTAGATGTTTTATAAAATATGTCAAATGTGAGCACTGGAGTGGATGATTTATGATTTACGAGAATATTTTTAAAATGATCAGGGTACTATCATACATGAGTCAATGCAACATAGTAATGTTGCTGTTTGCCAAACATACAACCTGACAATTTTAACATTATCTGACTTCATTTGATAATTCCATCAAATACATAGAACCTCATTCATTGCAAAACTCAAAAAATCAGACATCCTTATGAAAATAAAACACCCCAATATTCACCTAAAGCTTGCACTCCATTTTCAACAGTAGAAACCATTTGCAGTATGTGCAGTAATACCTCTAGTACATCAATGTGGACAAATCTGTTGAAAAAAAAAACATGAATGCGTAAGCCTTATTCTTCTTGAGTTCACAAACAATTCAATTCTTACTTGGTTTGCTTGATAGCTTCACAAACTGCAGTCACAAGATCAATGTCCGACCACAACTCAACAAGCTCATCACAACAATCCAAGACTTTTTCRACCAAATGACAACAGTTGGTCAGCAAATCAACTGAAATAAAAAAAACAGAAATACAAAGTCCTGCACACAAAATCTATTGAAATTAGTATTTGAAAAAGTATTTTTTGAGTATTTTAGTAACCAGGAAAAGGAATCAAATAGTTTAGGTACCGGTATAATTTTGTCAGAAATGTAATATAACAAAAAAAGATTTTTTGTAGAGATCTTTCACTACATTCTTGAATTATTTTGTAAACTAAATTGTTCGTAGTTAGTACAAATCATATTATATTCATAGAAATTATATTCACATCTYTACAATTGTTAAAATTAGTTCAATTTTCATTTGATTGCTAAGTGYGAACTGTGAATGTTGTCTGGACTACCTGTAGTTKCATAGCAACAATGACAAAAAAACAATGTTTCAATGATAGACCATAATTCCACTTCATTATACCCTSCATTACCATTCAAGGAATTCTCCATAATAAAATTAAAGTTCTTRATGGCTGAAGATCTCTTGATAGCGTCAATCCATTGCTGTCTTACATTGGCATTACTAATGCAAACATGCATCAACCTTGAACAAGATTGAAAATATCTTAATTACTACATATTTATTACCATATAAGGCATATCAGTTAGGGGTGCAATCTTATGTGGTACCCAGTATCCCTCCTAATGAGAACAAGGAGKGGGACTAAAGAAAAAGAATGTGGTATGTAAGAACCCCTTTCTGATCCCCCCATGCCCTCTCTCCATGTAAAACTAATACTGTACGTACATAGATACAGTATGCCCTTGAATTCAGTTCTTACCGAGTTGTTTCTACCAGAATTTGAGTATCTGCATCTTCCAAGAAAGCAGTAATAATGTTYCTGAATCATGAAAATATGAAAAAATTAGCTCCTGTCTGAATACATTTATGTTGKTCCCAACTAACTCTCAATTTATCACAATAAGGGCCTGGAAACTGCAATCATATTAATGAGTGGGCAATCCAATATGGCGACTAGTTGTATTATGTTTATTAATGAGTCAGTAACACTTGAAATACCAGCTAGTTGAATCCCAACTWGATTGAAACCCAGTGATTGTCAATACTTACACAAAATCATTGTTYTTCATCATTTCAACACAAACTTCATCATGACATGCCATATTGCCAAGAATACCAATGCAAATTTCCTAAAACCAACAATAATCAATTCATTATATAATAAAAATCAAAATACATAAGATTTAGGATTTTTCGCTTACCGTGAGTCTGGTCTTTCTTGACTTCAAAACGGCGTTGAGTAAAACATCTGCACTATCCACTTCATTTAACAAAGCTGCAACATCCTATCAATATTTTAAAAACAAATAATTATATAACACAATATTGTGATTTAAAACTCATTATGCATAATACTCCAACTTCGAGTTCTGGTTTGCTGTGTGTTAGCCTCAAAACCAAGTAAAATATTCTTTTGATTTATTAGTAGCCCGAGAAAATGCATGGAATTTGTGAAGAAAAACAATAAAATTGATTTGAAATCTCACACTTTTATTCTCACAATTAGGAATATTTTGCGCACAAATGAGGCTAACACAGCGCATTGGAGAATTCGAAACTGGATTATTGTGACGATGTATCAATGATGCAAAGATGTGATGATGATAAATCACGAAAAATAGTTTCCATCTAGAAATATTATTACGTATGCATTTGGAAACTGTCCATCATTAGATATATAAGAGAAATTTAGAAGTAAATAGATTATCTATGTAGTGCGTCGAATTTTTCGCGGGAAAAACACGTGTGCAGATCGGTAAGACAATCGATTGATCGATCAGCATATTTTTGGTTAAAATTTAATAAGTTTATATGAAAAACAAAAAATTACACTGATATCTACCTTGTTCATMGACATATCCCAAAGCTCACACAACTCCGCATCAAAATCATCCTCTAAATTTTGGTTGTCTTGTTGCTCCGGCTCGGCATCGCTTCGTGTTTCGATRCCATCTCCACTTTCGTGACTGTCATTTTCAAGGTTAGCATCATTATTTTGGGAGTTTACTTTTTCTACAACCTTCATGAGAGTTCTAAGAACCCATTTCTTGCTGAATACAGTGTCGCCGATGTTATCGCTCTCAATGAGCTCCCGTTCTTCTGCAGACAAACGGGGAGGCGATGGATTTCTTTCGGCCATCTTCAAAACAAGTGAAGTTCGGACAAATTGTCGTGTATTCGGAATTGATTCGGCTTGATTCGGAAACTTTCCGATAACTTCCCTAAATTCAAAATTATTCTTTTGTCGACATGAACAATTTAGAAGTTGAATTCAATTTAACGAAGTATTGATTGAAGATAGATGAATTTACAAGAGCAACTCAAAAAGTCAGAAACTATTCTATTTTCCAAGCTTTTAGAAGAGCATGCGGGATACCTGTGGCAATCAATACTATTTCGTTGCAAAACAAAATGGCGGACGATCAAGACAAAAGTGCTCAAAGAGAAGGCGAAAATATTCTTAAAAGAAAACGCGAGGAAGCCAATGAAGGAGAATCTTCCGGCTCTAAAAAGGATACAGAAGCCTTAAAGTCCCCTCCAGCAAAGATTCAGGCGCGAGGTAGCGAAATCAAGCTTACATCTCCTCCAGTTGCAGTRAGAAGGACRAGCCTAGAACAGGCCAACAAGAATCTACCTTCTACCAGCGCCAGTTCAAGTCTTGAAGGCAATCAGACTAAAAACSCAGAAGGMCAGGKAGATGATGAGAAAGGAGGAGTCGAGAAAATGCAGTAAGTTGTCTATTGAAGTCGTCTTATTTTAGTTCAAAAATACTTCTTTGGAAGTACATAGAGGCCAGCAAAGATGTATGTTTGCAAAAGAGGTTACATGCTATCCTCAACCAAGTAAGTTTTACTTTATAGACCTTTATGCAATGTTTTTCTTTCTCAGACTTCTGGTATCATCATTCTCAGAAGACCAGCTTAACAGATATGAGATGTACAGACGAGCTGCCTTCCCTAAAGCGGCAATAAAGAGAGTAAGACTTTTGCTTTTGTTTCATAAATCCTTTCCTTTAAAACATAGATTTTCACAGGATAATAGTTGGTCTTTAATATATAAAAGTCATTGGTTGAAGAGTCGCAATGTTTTGACATTGGTTTCCATGTTGTCCCAGCATCCTCAGAGGTTCAAACATCACCCCATAATCCTTTGCCACATACTTTCTGATTGGTTTCTCTCTATTGCAATGACATCCTGTAAGAAAGTTGGGTTATCACACTCCAATTGTAACAAATTTTGAAAAAAAAAACAATAGTTCCTCTTCCAATCAATAAAACAAAACCTAGCCTAACCATAGAAGGGAAATATGCTTAAAAGGGAGAATTTCAATAGCATGTTTCAATGAATTTTTGTATGGCTAGTATCAACCCAGTGTAAGTTTTTAAAAATATTTTATTTTCTAGTTAATGCAAAGTGTAACTGGTGGAACATCTATTCCTCCAAACGTCGTCATAGCAATGGCAGGAATCGCAAAAGTTTTTGTGGGTGAAATTGTCGAAGAAGGTACGTTACTCATTATTAATATTACTTATTATATAAAATAAATCCCACAATTTTGCTATTTATAGCATGTGACATCATGGAAAAGTGGAGYGAAAAAGGGCCTCTTCAGCCCAAGCACTTACGAGAAGCAGTGAGRCGAGCAAAAAAGAAAGGACTGGTACCTAATATTCGGTATAAGAAACAGCTACTACACAGATAGCCAATATTGGGATCATGTTTGTTTAGCTACTGAACATTATGTGAGGTCGCTGTGGTTGGAGTCCCAGGAGAACTACAAGAAGAACTACATTGAAACATTTGTGAAGGAGTTCAGAGAATTTTTCTGGGATTCCTGTGATTGAAGAAGACTGGAAAGAAGACTGTAAGAGTTATTTACTGCTTTGGGMAAATTTTACTTGAAAACGCAAGACATTTGAACATTAGAAAACAGCYATGAAATATTTGTGAAAAAATTCCGGGGAGAACAGTGATCGTGYCTCGTGATCCGTGTCTTTTAGTGYRCAGTCATCAAAGACAGCTTATACATGTAGATAACGTACTTAGCAGCATTGTTCCAGCTATATTTTGTTATTCAAGCTACTTTTAATCATGCTACGGTGTTTCTGTGTTGGTATAAGTCCTCACAATGAACTTGTGAAAAAGGAGAATTAGAGGAGGAAGAGACCTGAGGACGAGCCTCATAACGTCTGCGAAGATACTACGAAAAAGGTAGCTAGCGATACGAAAACACTTTTTACTTATGAAAAGCGRAGTACATGATAAATAAAAACGCAACGAAAATTAAATTGTGCGCGTATAGTTCACGTTATCTACGCTTTCGCTGTTCACTTCTGTTAATCCAAACAGCTTATTTACCACGCAACGGGTCGCAAGTGACCACGTGAAATTCTATACGTCTTTACATCAAGAGTTAAGTGAGTCATAATGTACTTTAAGAAAAGAACTAGGAAACGGAAGCGGTACGTACGCGAAGAGACGGAAGAGGGCTTTCATTTTATAACTCTGATTCCTTTATCGCAGTGGCTTACGTCTTCGTCTCTGCTTACCAATGAACACGCAAGGAAAACGCAAAAGTAATCGCGCGTAATTCTGGGCGAAAACGCGGGATGGTTCTTCATCCAAACCAAGCAGCTGAATACGCAMCAAAGATGCACGTAAGTGTGCGTAATTCTACACGTTCACTAAGAGAACTTTTCTAAATCCATTACAGCTAAAACACGGGATGACTTTTTCAACCAAACAGCTGTGCAAACACAATTTTATTGTTGTCTGCCTCATGCATTTTCGTGTTTCTGGTATTTCAGCTGGTTCATATGTTTGCAATGTCTGGTTTCTGATCGGACACGAAATTGTAGCAGCGCGTCTTGATCCCAAAGTCCACTCAAGCACATTTTCACTCTTCAAATAATCTGTGAATTGCATTTGATATTGCTCTTTTTGAGAAGAAATTTAAAAATATCATGTCCGGTATCTTTTTTTCACAACTTTTACGTAATTTCAAACGGTTATGATGTAGATATCTTAGTTTGTCGTTGTCATTTAGTAGTMCTTTTCTTTTTACATTGAACCCTTGTAAGGGGTCCAGGGTCCACCATAATTACCCCTGAATCCGCCTTTGATTATTATCTAAATGAGCGTGGTCCAGTGCGCTGTACTTTCAATGCCAAAGGATTCGGGAATTGACCGGAAACGAATTCACTTATTAGACATCAAACATACATGAGTTTATCATATAATTCATTTTCCTAATATTCCTTTTATTTTCATTTTTAACCTTTTCATTATTTTTATTTTTCATTATTGTTTCTCTAAACATATTCATTATTTTTACACTCAAATATTCTTAAAATCCTATTCATTTTCTTTTTTGTTAAATATAAAGTTTTTCACCTTTTTAAAATTTTGTTGGTTTATTCCTGTTGTCTTCTCTGTTATTGTTAATTAGATTCACATTTTATGTAAACGTTTTTCCATTATTATATCGACTACTGTTCCTGTTTGGTATTCGCGCTTTGATGTCCGCGCTTCGATAGCCTTTCCTTAGAAATCAGAATAGGATTTCTCCAGTATGTTTGCCATAACATTTTTATTATTTTGTTTCTTTATTTTGCATTGAAAAAACAATCCAGAAAGTACACTTTCAACACTATATTCCCAATGACTTTTACATCGACGCTTTCCATACAAAAAAGCCCTTTGTTTAAATCTGAACAAATATTTTCGCGCGGTTTTTCTTTCATGAGTCTCAAAGTGTGTCATTTTTCATCATGTGACATTATTTCAACCAATCACGTGAAGGGAAAATCAATGCGTCCTTTTCAAATGGACTTGACTTCGGCTTTTTTCATGTTACCATTCATGACAAGTAGCAAACGAAAAGCAATCAAAAGATTTTTTTAAATCAAATACTTCTGTTTTTTTCATTAGCTAGGTTAAGAAACCGTTTGAAAATGAGGCCAAGGTGAGTAAAAATTATTTYTCAATATATGCAAGAAGATTTGCCTGCTCGTTGAGGGAAATGGAAGAAGTTCTAAGTTAAGTGTGCTTAAGTTAATGAAGATAGCCGTGATAAATAAGTCCATCCTTCTTATAACTAATTGTAGGGGATTTTAAAGTCSTATCTTGGTAAATCCCAATCTCATCCGAAGCGAGAGGATCCTTAATTTTTAGCTTGTTTTGATTCACGCATTTAAAACTTAATGGATTCTATTACAGCGAGCATTACTCTATTTCTTGTCAGGTCTATTTCATATATTAATATAGAAAAGAAAGGACTGATAAACTGCCGAGATTTAATTTTCAGCTAAACTCAGTTTACGTCTATCACGTAAGCTTATTRCACGCTGTAAAATGCACGCYTTCCTAGCCGCGTTTACGTCTAAGCAAAATGTCGCTAACAATCCGTGTCTTATTTTTCTTCCAACGCTACTGTGTCATTTTGTTTATACTTTGAAATGATCTTTATTCATTTCAGTTATTATAATCTGTTCAATATTTTTGCTCCCAACTGCGTCGGCCTTTCGGCGATCACTGCAAGAAAAGCGGCGTTCGGCGCCGTTRCCGAAWTTCTCACCCGAGTTTTTGCTATATTTGATCATTTGTTACCTTCATACCCTTGGCACAWTTCGGAATTTGGTGTATATAAGTAAATTTTTTAATCAAATGTTTTTTCTATGTATTTGTCTAGAGCAACCAGACGATCACGTGATCACGCATGTKGTATAGATGACGTTACCATGGTAATGCGTAAAACCTGAGTCAATACYTTGAATTTCACGTGTCCACTGGTGCCGGCGTTAAAGAAAATACTCAAGGTAATATAGTACTGAAAAAAGTTCTGGTATTCCATTTCGGACGTTTTTAATTTTATATAAAAAGTTTTCTAAATAGCTAATTATTAGTCATGGATGTGGAGACACAATGGCTTACCGCAGCAGACTTTGCATATATGTATAATATCTTAAAAACCATCGTACTTTTGTGGCCGTGCTATGCTGTAATCTTGATATTTTCTCGCTTAAATTAATCTTACTGTGCATTAATGTCAGTCGCTAGGTTTCGTGACATTGCGGTGCCTTCCGGCAGTTTTTCCGTCGCGTGGATCTACCAATAGACATTGCATCAGACGATGCCAATCAGTGCAGTGCCGGATCCAGGATTTTTCAAAGGGGGGTTCCTCTTTGTTTTCGCATTTGCCTAAAACGAACTTTTTTACTGTGCCTCTCGAACTGTAGCAAATGTAGCGTGAAAGTATTGAATAAAAATTCATTGTACGATGCGTTTTCATTTTATTTCATTTATCATTTATTTCATTTTTTATTTTTTTTTATGCTCGAGGGGGGTTCCTAGGAACCCATGGAACCCCCCTGGATCCGTCACTKCAGTGAACAGTAAACTTTCGTTTATGTAGTAGTTGGCTTGGAATGGTTGTATACCTAGTCCCGTTTATGTTGCAGGCATCTGATGTTATTAAAAACAAATAAAAATTTATTTTAAAGCATGCTGGTGCTCATTTTCACTGAACATGATTGCTTTTATATCCGATTTCTGTAGAGTGTCAATGAAGTATATAGTATGGTGGATGTTTGCTTGTTGCTGATTCTACTAAATCTCTGTAAGTATACTGTAAATCAAATTAAAGCAATTAAAGAATGGTTTTCATAATTAATGGAATCGAAAAGATTACAAAGAAAAACGTGCCACAACTATAAAGGKTAATTAAGTGTCGCAAACTAAATTGTATTTTAAGTAAACCCGTGAAATAGGCATTACAATACACCTTGTTTAGTACGCTCTAGAGTGGTTAACACACTTTGGCTCTTTTGTTTTTTATTGTCTCTACGCGACTATTACGATCTATTACACTCTAATTATTACACTTTGTTTCACGGGTTTATGCAAACCACTCTAAACCCGTGAAACAAAGTGTAATAATTAGTGTGCCAATAGATAGTAATAGGGCGTAGATACAAAAAAAACAAAAGAGCCAAAGTGTAATTGCGATAAATACGCTATAAAAGTGTGTTTCACGCCGTTATATAAATGAAAACCACTCTAATATTGCATTGTTTTCGTTTGTGTCTATTTGACTTTAGTATAAACATACTAATGGTCTATCACTCATACTGCGCTGTGATTGGCTACTCTACTAATGGTCTAATTTGTGATAGACCACTCGCGGGAAAATCAAAATGGCGGCATCTCATTAATAAATTATTTTAAAGATATTTCAATTTGTTTTCATTATTTGACCGATTAGTATGTTTAGTACTAAAACAGTTAGACCTCTCGGGCTCGTGGACTACGAGCTAATAGCCCATTCGGCCTCGCGGACTGGGCCTCATGGGCTATTAGCTCGTAGTCCACTCGACCTCGAGGTCTAATTGTTAAATATCATTATCACGCCCTGTATTTAATAGACAAATTTGATGACGTCACGTCTAGTATTTCGTGACCTTAGCCTCATCCAAACTGAGTTTAACCTTGAAAAGAGATTAATTTGGGTATTATCAATAAATAAAAAGAGATTTTTTCAGTCCTTTTTCACAGTAAAGACAGACAGATTGAAGAGAAAAGACTTCTTCGCGATATCATACTTACGTCATAACTTTAACGGTGACGTCAAGTGCTTGGTGCTCTTGTATTTCCTTTTACAAAACCACATTAAGAATACTTAGTAAGCGCTCAGATGACTATGTAGATCGTGAAGGGCGTATATCCTGTACTTGAAAATGTCATCGACTTAGACTGAAGTTCACAAGCTGCTCAATATTTCACGCTACTTATGCAGTAATCGGAAAACGCTTTGGTGTTGAAAGAAGCACATATATTGGCTCTACTATGAGTGAATATCAATCAAATTGATATTGCAAGGGTACTATGAATGAATAAATATAAATTGATGTTTGATTGGAATAAAGAAAACAGCAAAACTCTTGAAAACAATTAGAAATGGCACGCGATTTAATAGTCATTACTCCGACGAAGTATTAACGTCCGAAACGTCAGTAAGTTACTTCTACTCCTACTTTCAGACGGTGTTTATTTTATCTTTTTACACAAGAGAAAAGTAGCCACTGATCGAGAGAAAACTGAAGCAAATTCAAGTTTAATATATAGTTCGCACCATTTTAAGTTGCGAAAATGGATGAAAATGAAGGGAACTACGGGAAGGATGGAAAGAAAAACAGAGATGCATAAACTTAGACAAAGACAAGAAATGAAAATGTAAAATAGTTTTATATCTAGAAGTTTTGAAGTAACATTTCCGATATTATAAAATATATTAACTTCATTCAATAATGTATACAATAAAATTTACAAAATGTTATATTCTAAAAAAAATTCTCTAGTCTTATATCTTTCTTAAAACATATTATTTCCGATATTATCATCGCTCATAGTTATTATATTTTATTCTCTGTTGAAAGCTAAATATCTTAAACGTCCACCGAAAAATRCAAGAGAAAAGATTGCTTTAAATCGACCTTTTTAACCGAATCRCAATAAACAGCATGCGTACAGTAACTCAAATAATTCGCCTACACCTGATAAATATCTTYSATATCGTACTGATGTCAAAGTTACCAGAGCAAGTGTGAACACTTGAAGATCTTATCTTTCTTCTTCCGCGTGTGGATCGTTGGTGAAGTTTTTTCGTCGTGTAAAGAGGAAATGTYTTTTGCATTGCCTCAGGCACTGATGTACTTTGCAAATCCTTTGTAATGGTATTATACAGGCAATATATCAAAACAATAGCGACAATAGCTTATTCAAAACCTCGATGTTTCGATGAATAAATTGATTGAGACGATAAGATAASAACTCAGGGATATGGTTTGCTGGTCGAATAGGAATGGATTAATGAATAAATGAATGGATGAATAGAAGGAAAAAGGAACTAATGAAAGAAAATTATGGACGGAGGAATCAGAACATCGTTGAATTAATACACACACAAAAAATAGCTGGATGAAAAGATAAATAAAAGGAAAACTAATAAAAGATTAAACAGAAATGTCCATGAAACAAAAAAAAAGAGAAATGTTATTTCTTTTCCATCTTTTCCGTTTCGATGTAGGAAATCTTCACCATACACAGTCATGTGACGTTGAGCTTCGTCACGCATGCGCACTTGTAATATTTTTACTTCGGTTCGTGTTGAGAAGTTGTTATGGAGGGAAAATGGTCGCTTGCTTTGCCGATTTTTTATACCTTTTAACATTGATATATCTTAATTTTCTTATAACAAACGGAGAGAGAACATATCGAGGTAAGATATGGGGAATTTTGGGGGAATATTCGTTAATGTTCAAGTAGATTTTACAGCAATTTTTCATCGTTGTTGATAATGTTTATTCGTATTTCAGTGAACGACTTTGCAAACGCGGGTTCGTTTGGTCAAGATGTCGTAGAAAGTCCAGAATATTATCCTTCAAATGAATTATATAATAAAAACGGAGAATTGAGAAGTAATAGTGGAAAATTACCAAGAATAAATCAAGTCGTCCGCCATGTGAAAAGACTTTCAAAGTATAAACTGCCTTCGCGGGGCCATGGTACGGCTTCGAAGGCAGATAACAACTTGGCGGCAAAAACCGAAAGCATCGATCGACAATATATTCTAGTCCTCGTAAGTAATATTTTTCTGCTATTTCTTTATAGTCATGTTGAGATCCTACGTAAGAATGTCGCTTTTTGATGGTTTAATTTTTTAGAAAAACTGGCGCAAACAATGTTACCCGATCAAACGTTCGCTAGTCAATATTTCTTCAATCGAATCTTTGATCGCTGGTATAATTTTCCATACAACTTTTTTTTCATTCAAAATACCTTTATATCGTTTAATCTGGGGATTAGATTCGACTTATGCAAAGTCTTTAGCCGCGTTTAGATCGTTTCCTTCGACGTTAATTTGTATTTATGGGAAATAGTTTTTCTCTGTATATATTCTTTACGATCAATGATCAAGAGATGTTATTGTTTTTCACAAACACGATTTTTTTAACGTATATATATCTTGTAATCTTTTCTGTTATTGTGATAAAGAAGACATTTTATTTGGGCTTTGATTTTAACCGAAGTAGATTCGTAAAAAAATGAAAAGGAAATTCTACTTCTACTTCCTGAACATAGTCTAATAGATTTCGTATGCGTAGCGTGATTTGTGAGTTAGGAATGCCCCAATATTCGTCTTCTTYAGCTAKATGACTAAACACCTATAATTTCTGTTAGGAGTTATATTTGCGTGAGTTTCCCCTYATTTTGGCAATTTTGCTTAATCCTATTTTTATTTCTTACAAATTTGTTACTTTTGGGGGCCATAATTTATCTCCTTCAACTTCATTTTCACGTACAGATAACTTTTCTCGTTTTGCGTTTCAAAACACGTCTTCAACTTTTGAATCACCAAGCAATCATTTAAAGCCGGACAGTTCATATTTATATGACGCATACGGAAGAATTTTGACAATGGCGAAAACATTGATTTCTTCATTTGTTATTTTTTTTTGTTATTTTGGACTTGTATAGTTTGTGTTYCCTAATGAAGAAGAAGCCACATCCGCCCCCTCAAATTATTGCAGATTTGCCGATTGTTTGGAGAAAAACTCCTTCGCTTTTTTTGTATTTTGTATATTAATTGTATTGTCTCTAAAGCGTTTGACAAATTTCGAATATTTCGACTTTAATTTGACATCATAAAACTCTTTATACCAATGTTTATGAAATATTTATTGTGTGTTGTGTAGGGGAGGGGAGGGGAGAGCACTTGCACTGTATATAATCGTATCAAGTATTATCAGACTCAATCCATAGGATTACCATGAAAATGCACAATATTGAAGTATTGTGTACAGTGTGTTRAAACATACAGTGTACAATTTCCACAATATTTTGTGTAATGTTTTATTTAGTAATAAAATATAGAGTAGAGTGGACATACTAAATCCGTGAAACAAATAGTACTAATTAATAATAAATAGTGTTAATTAGACAATAAAATACAAAGGAGTTCAGCTTATTTAAAATTATTATATACTATTTAACTTTCACGGATTAAGTGAGTTCACTCTACAAACCCTAAAACTGTGCAACATAAATACCACTAAATACTGCTAAATTATGCTAATTCTATTGTTTAATTAACACTATTTTGTAGTGGAAATTGTTGCACACATTTAATGTTTGTACTCTATTGCTAACTTTAATTAACCACTAATGCTAGAGTAGAAACACTAAATGTGTGAAAAAACATTTTAAAACAAAGGAAGAAATTTGTACAATTAAGCTTAATTTAATTACTAAACTTTCTCATGGGTTTAATGTTAGCAATCTAGTAGAATTTATTCCAGATTAGAGCCCTCTGTTTTGAAACTTAAGACATTTGTTATTTTGATCCAGTATAGAGTGCACGCCACATAAGTATGAAACAATCCTTAAGGAATTAGCGCCTAATAAGATTTATTTATCAACTAACTAAGAATTTAGTGAGGCATAAAAAAGACAAGTTTCCTTTCTGGCATTGTGTTCATGCCCCAATGAATTCTTAGTTAGTTGATAACTAAAATCTTATTAGATGTTTGATAGTTAAGAATTGTTTCATGCTTTTTTGGCGTACACTCTATCATTGATTATATCATCATCATCATCTTATTATTATTCCTCTTGACTTCACTCTGTCAAAAGAAACCCCTAACCCTCTAATGAACTTATCCTTTTCAATTATAGCATTTTTTTACAAGATATTATTCAGAGTAAACTATTATAAAGTACAAAAAACGAGTTCTATATGATTATAAATATTTATAGAGAATATGCAAATGTTGATTCATAACTTTGATGATGTCTCTGTTAGACAAAAATCCATTTAAGGCAAATCTTAATGCAAAATCATTCTTAACATTTTACAACAGATCCCCTTTCAAATTATTAACCAATACTTATAATATTATTGTAATGGTTGTCTTTCTTTTAGAATGTTGGCATTCCATCAAAGTCATTCAATTCATTCAAAGAAAAATCACTCAGCAGTTTGCTGACAAAARGCTTGGATAATGATGCATTTCCTGGCTCAAAATGCAATATATTACACAATACACCTGTGAGTATATCCTCTGAGAAAACTCTAGCACTATTCTGTTCTTTAAATATTTTCAAAGGGTCATAGATCAACTGTCATTATTAACAACTTTTTTACCATAACTTGTAGAATTCTCGCGCGCTGATTGGTCGAGAACCGTTGTCAATCCTAGGACAGACCAATGAAATGATGAATCGCTCGCGCACGGAGCTGGCACGTGCCAGAAACTGTTTTGTTTTGAAAGTTTTACTTTGTTTTCGGCTTTGTTATGGTAAAAAAAACAAAACAAATCGAAATCGCTTTTCTATGGACTGAAAGCATATCGAAAATTCAAACGACCAAATGATCATTTTGATTATTATTTATAGATAAGCAAAGCAAAAGTCCAACTTGAAGTCTTCTGTCAAAATGGCAAGAGGGAAACCACATATATACCTGCTCCATCCCTGTTGAAATCACTGGACTCCCCACAGATGAAGCCATTTATCAAAAAATTTAACATAACAGCRTATGGGGTGAAGGTAAATCTCAATATAGTGTAATTTCATTGAATTAGTTACTCAGTGATGTAATCATGTAGTTTTTTGATCACTCAATCAGTTGATCAATAAATAAGTCAGCCAATCAACTACTTGATTATCCATTAATCATTCTATCAGTCAATCAATCAATCAATCAATCAATCAATCAATCAACCAATCAATCAATCAGTTGGTCAGTCAGTCAGGTAATCAGACAGTCAATCATTCAATCAGTGAATAATATAATAATAATAATAATAATATGTGGTATTTATATATAGCGCTGATTTCCTCTAAGTTCACAGGCGCTTCACATGTATAGAATGATCATTTCACACGGACCGATTTGTTTATCAATGTTTATCAATGAAATTAATTACATGCCCAATAGGTTCTTATTATAGGAAGTATAAAACTATAAATTTAGATAATCAATTTCTTTCTCTATAGAACCCACCAGAGATCAACCTGCAAGTTTACCAGGAAATGTGGTTTCCTGTGGCTGTAGTTGCTGGAATCAGCATGTTGTTGATTGTATTTGCTATTGCTTGCCTGGTAAGTTGGTAACAGTCCAGCAAGRCCACTGAACTCTTGACTCACTCTCTTCAATAATCATTTGTAATGYMATCATTTCAGCTTATYTGTCGCAAACGAGTTGAGCAAGCAGACGAAGAGGAACAGAAAKCAAAACAGACKCCAGATTCTGAGTTTGTTTATCCAACAATTCATCCAGTACAAACCATGCCAGCCAGCATGATTCARCCAGGAAGTGGCCAAGTTTATACTATATCAGGAATACCACTSAAGCCAAGAAAATGGAAAGGTTCTCAGATGTCTTTGTTAGATAGGTGAGACAACTGAATAAATAGTATCTACTGTGTTATAGTTAGTGTATATGTCTTGAATAAGTGAATTGATTTGTTAAGGAATAGTGAATGGGTAAATGATGAGGCTCTAAATGAAAACAAAACACATCATTTGTTATTACTCTTGTATTCATTCACAAACATTTATGTCAAACTTCATTCTTTTTTCTCTCAGACGTGGCTCAACAGCATCTCTTGTACTTGATTTAACTTCC